AATTGAAAAATACTTTGGAACGCTAGTGCTAACGCAAATAGAAAAAGAAAAGAGCGCGTAGGAAAGTGAGAAAAGAATAGGAGCGTGGGGAAGCACAGTGGGAACATAAGGGGGTGGGACCTTAGACCATAAAACAATCTTAAGAAAACATTGCAAGTGTAGCGTGCATGCAGCTGCAGTGACAGTGTGGGCTTCAACTTTGGACTTTAGACGGCACTGAAGACCGAAGTGGGACGGTAACCGGTGAGGTAAACGTGAGGACGCCCGCAAATCGCGGAGCTGACTCATCGCCACACTTGCATTGTTGGCTGTCGCAACTCCCCCTTCATTTTCATCTCTCCTTTGCACCACATTTTGATTTAAAAGTTGGAGCCTGCAGGGCTTCTTTTAAGTTTGGAGTTTTACACCTCTACTCCCCGTCAACGACTTTAAAAGAAATGGAATCCTCTCCTCTTCCCTCAAATATCCATTTTCAAATTTCAAAAACAAGGGCTTAAAATTTGCACTTATTTTTGGACTTTGGAGTCTAGACTATAGGGAAACTATAAAGTAGGGTTTGAATAATTCTCAAAGTTGTTGTAATTTTAATTTCCAGCTGGATTAGTGAGAAATTTTATCTAAAAAGCTTTTATTAGAAAAATAGAAGGGAAAGTATTGTATGAAAAATTAAAATGTGTTGAACAAAAAATTTGTTAATTTTATAAATGAAGATTTGTTGGGATGGTAAACTTTTTTATGTTTTTGTAAGAAATTTATTAGGATTGAAGTGCTATATCAAACCAAGTGCTAGCCTTTCTTGATTAGAACTAATGTTTTGTATGAAGTTAATATTGAGAAAGTTGAAACAAATAGATGTCACGTAAGTCTTATTTTAAAAAGTTGGGGGAGAGGGGAAGTTTTTCCTTTTGAAAAATGTGAAAAGAAAAGACAACTTATATATATATTGAGAATGGTGTTAAGAAAAATAAAAGTTAATAATATTAATTTTATCCTTTAGTTATTATGTTATTAAGCTATGAAAATATTGAAATACCTTAAAACTTTCTTAGGTAAGAGGGAAAAACTACTTTCCCAAGCCAAACACACCCTAAAATTTTTTAAAGGAAGACCAATCAAGGGGTTTATGAATATGGTATTGGGTCATATGTTGACGATAGTCCAGCGCCAGCATGTTAATGATTTAAAGGCAATTATATGGTAATGAAGTTTTTGTGTGATAACGTAGTGGCCATAAAATTAAATTAATGTTGAAGTTTCACAGTTTAGTACTACTTGAACATGCTCAGTTCAACTTTAAGTTTTTATTTTTTATATAATATTTTACATTATTAATTCTTAGAGTT